GGGAACCACCTCAAAAGTGTTTGGTGGGCAAGAACCCCCAAAAAGCACTCATTACAGCCAAAAAAAGACACATCCCCGCTTGCTCACCCACTTGTGCCGCTTGTCTCCTGGACTTTCTTGTTGTGCTCCTTCTTGGCATCGCGGAGAGCCAAGGCAGCGCCCTCTGCCTGGATCACAAAGGGCCGTGCCCCACTTACAACAGCAGCAGGGTTTGATTTGCAGGCAAGTTTCAGTGGAAAACCTGATATCCCCTGTTTGGTGTCCCGTGAATGTTGACCCCGGATGAATAAACCTTGGTTTGTTCATAGGGGGTGTCCCTGGGCTTAGTGAGATTCATCACTTTTGGAGGGGAACAGCCCCATCTCAATAAAAAGGGGGTTTATTCATCCGGGGTCAACATTGCAGGGTCCAAAACCTATATGTTTGACAAGCCCATAGCTATGCGAGGGATTTCCAAGCAGGATGCGGGAGTGAAACGCCGCTTTTATCAGGAGAATTGGTTAGAGCCACATGTGAGCAAAATACAAAATTAATTTCTTGCAGCCCACCGAAAATTAACAGAGCCAAACAACAACTAGAAAGCATGCGAAGAACCGCGAAGACAACGCTGACGCATGTCGCGCGTTCCCTCGTACTGTTCCCTGGTGCTACTGTCACCAGCCCGGCAGAGCACTGAGGAAGCGAAACACGCATAGACTACTTCTTTACTTCTGAAGTATTCAGCACATCTGGGAGTGCAACATCCTCTTGCACTCACCAAAGCATGAGTCGCATCAAGTACCTAACATCTTGATGAAACTGACCTAAATCAAATAACCCCCACTAAGTCAAACGGCGCCATACACTACCCTCCCACAAAGAAACTTGAAATTTCAAGGAAGACGGTTTTCCGTACCAGGCCTCCTGCTGTAACTGCTGCTGCTTGACCACAGCCGCAGCCTACAGAACCAGTCGGCCAATCTGTTGAGACTTGCTGAGTTGACTTAAAAAAGTTTGAGCTTGTTGGGCCTTGTCTACAATGACGCAGAAACATATCAAAGAAATAGCGTTTGCCAAGGAGATGTGCTGCAACCATCACTCTTGGCATTGTACAAATGCTCGCTCTGGTCATCAGATCCACAGATAGGAAATGGCCCACCAGAAACTGATACGTGTCCCCATCTTGGCCCTCGAATTCGCCCGTCCTTCTGGGTGTGTTTTTGCGAGTAGCCCTACTGCGGTTGGTTTTAAGTTGCCGGAAACCAAACAAGATCACAAGGAACGGTTGGTTTTGCTACCCCTTTGAGACAACCCCTGCAAGGAAGCGAACTTGCTAAGCACGCCAGAAACCAGTGATGAAAACGAAAAGAGCTGCCAGCCGCCAAACACATGACTGGCATCCAAGAAACGCCAACAGCAGTTATTGTGTTGCTTCCAAAGACGTGCCATTTGGACCAGTTAGTTGATAGGGGAGATCGACTAGAATTACGGAATGGGAATCAGACAATACATGGCTGGCTCTCCTCTACACCATTCCCATATCTCGAGAATGGAGGAAGGAAGAGAGACAAGCATTCTACAAAGTCAAGGGCTTACCGAGCGGGACATTCCCAAGATCTGAACACGCTTGACCCGGATCCTACCTCCAACCGCTTCCACGGCGAATTGAAGCGACAACGGAGCCAACGAGACCACAATCCAAATGGCTGCGTCAGCTACTGGGACCCCCAAAAAGGGGAGATGGGTGGGTGGCTTCCCTACTCCCGTTGAAAATTCGCCAAAACGGGTAGCGAGCCACAAAAAGGACACACCCTGAATATGTTCGCGAATGAGGACTGCCGCGGCTGTCCAACTTGGCCAACAGGTGCGCTAGGAAGGGGAAAGGGTGGGAGGTCTGCCCCTAGCAAGGGTTTCTGGGCTTTTTGCCCCTGGTAGCAAGGGTTCTTGAGCTTCACCTTACATATATTTATACACCTGGAATATATATATATATATATACACGTATATTTGTATTTACCGAATCAAGGCCGCGAAGAGTCTGATCCATCCCGCCGGCCTCGGCGTCCTCTTGCTGCTGTCGGCTCTGCTGCAACTCGGCGCCCAGCTCCTGGAGGGAACGACGACGAGGCCGGGTGTTGGGAATGAAAGAAGCGTTTGGGGATTCCCTTGAAGGAAACCATAGGGGATGGTCTTATAGGGGACATTCCCTCATTCCTTGCTGAGAACGATCTTCCTCTTGCATTCCCTGAAAAACATACCCTCAAACAACACAAGAGTTCTTAGCCAGTTCCATTGCAAAGAATGGGCATGGCAAGCCGCATGGATCTTCTGGCTGGGACTGCTCCTGAAAAACTTCATCTCGCACAGCCAAGGAAACGGACCCCAAAAAATCCATGTTGAGCTGTGGGGTCAAAAGCGTCGAGAATGATCACCGGCAGACGTGGACGACAAGAAATCTTTGAAAAGTGCAGGCTACCGGTCGGAAAAAGCCCAGCTCGCCTTCCCTGGTTGGCGAGCAATCTAACGCTTTGGACTGCGCGTCAATCAGAGTGCAGCAGAACCTTCAGGAATAGCCTCCACACTAACATGAAAGCTGCCATCACCGAGGCCGGAACCGGAAGCTTGCGGCGGTTCTTCTGAGGCAGTGTGCCTTTTCCCACGTTCACAGTTGAGTGAAGTCTCCGGAGCGAAGCTTCGACAGCCCGTATCCTTCTCCGAGGAACTCATGACCTTCACTTGCTTCTCCAGCAGCATGGTCTTGTCCTACAGTGGCTCGTCTTTTTGAAAGAACCCTCAGAGGTGGTGTCCTTTCAGGTGTCCCTTTAAACTCATCTAAGAAGGTCACCCCCAAAAAAAAAACGCGGCTTGACCAACTCACAACCAAAAAAACGCCGCGGCCTCAAAGCGATTCACCAGGTCCGACAGGAAGCCTCGCTTTGAGTCTGGCTGAGCATCTTGCAAACAAATCTGAGCAGGTGACTTAACACACAGCTGGGTCCATCAAAAGGCGACACCTTCCAAAGTATCAGTCTAACTGGTGTTTCAGAGAGAAGCCAGCCCCAACCAGTCATTTTCAGAATCCCCCAAAACTTAAAAAGCTTCAACCATTCTACTGCCTCTTTCAGGGACCACAAAGCATTCCAAGGGCCACTCGTTCCTCGTTCCTTCGCTCAGAAAAAGCGCCGCCCCGACTCAGCCCGCAGCCGACCCGGGACTCCAGCGTCTCCACCTCCAAGGCTAGTTCCTCAGCGGTCCTCGCAACGCTCGCGGCGCTCACGGAGCATCACAGCTTCAAAAACGCGGGGAGCGAGCCCCTGGACGACGTGGTTGGAGTGCATGGCGAAAAAAGATGCTGGAAAAAAAAGAGGGGGAAGAAAAAAAAACACGTGGAGCCCCTTCCATGGATTACACGCTTTTTTGTTGGATCTGGATTCAGATGGAGGATCGCATTGCAAAGGCGGAGAGTTTCTGGAGGTGGGCGTGGGTAAAAGAAATTAGAAAAAGATGCTGCAAGCATTTGCGGACTTGGCCCATGGAAACAACAAGCTCTGAGATCCGCATCAAAGTGGAGAGGCGGTCCTTCCTTTGACCACGGCCTCCCGCTTCTGCCGCGTCAACTTCTCCTCCTCCAGCCTGTCCTGCGTACCATGTGGCAAAAGTATGGGGGTTGGGAGGCCACCCCCCCACCCCGTTTTTTGGTGTGGTTGCACCCCCTCCCCTGATTTGGGGCTTACGCATTTTAAGGTGGCAAGAAGGGAAAAAAACACCCCCCCCCCCCCCATTTTGACACCCAATGACTCACCCGAATGGGAGTTCTGAGCACTGGTGCTTTGGGAAATCAGGCAAGTCCCAATGTCCCTGCCACATGAACCATGGATCTCATGCGAGTCTTTGATTTCAAGCACTCATGCAAGCAGATGGCCTGACCTGCCCACGACACGTGCAAGTAGGCTTCAAGCCTTGCAGCGACTGATGTGTCCAGATAGGGGGATGCCCAAACATTTCTGGATTTCCTGTTGCCTTCCGTTTAAGCCAACCTGAAAAGAGCACCCAACCAAAAAACACCCAACCCGTTCTCATTCGCGTGCAGACGCGGCTCGGTCCTTCGCTTCTTCGAGCTCATGCTCCTCCAGGTTCGGCACTTTGGTACCCCCCCTTCAATCTGGTTGAACAAAAACAAAAGGAGCAAAGGGCACTGGGTGGGGTTCCAATCAACTCCCTTGCACAACACCCACCATACCCACCAACAAACCTGGATCTCGAAAACAAGAATGTTTCTCATGTTGCTCACATGTTCCTCCTTAAACCCCCTCCCCAAAACTTAACGGATGAGGGAAGGTTTGAATTGGCCTCGGGCGCTTTCCTTCCATGAACGTGACATTCTCAAATTTACTCCCCAATGGTCCACAGGGAAAACGAGGAGAGACAAAAGTAATATGAGGGCGAAAATGTAGCTCTAAACATTCAAAAGTGTGCGAACCCCTCCAAAAGGAGGTAGCTTAAACCACATACTTTCGTTGACCCGGCACTTCAAGGGGCCCCTTCTTGAATGTAACACCCAATCAACCAGAAATTCATTCCAAAAACGGGCAGTCCTTGGGATCCGGACCCAACCCTTCGCTCCTTGCTGCGCAGCTGCTCCTCCAGCAGCGCCACTTGGCCCTCGAGCTCGTGCAGCGACTCCTAGCGACGGCCAACGGTGGGCCTCGCGGAGGGCCGATTTTTTTTTTCAATGTGGCCTCTGAACATGACACAAGGGTCGTCATAACATAGGGGGGATGGTTGCCTGTGATGGCACATGCGAAGACAAGCCGTGTCAATTGCAAGCAAGACCTCTCGCAAGTGAACATGACGCAAGGGTCGTCATCTTCCATGGAGGTGTTCCCCAAAATGGGGAACAAACCGCCTTTGTGCAAAAAAAGAAGGTGGTCGGAGAACAGCCGTTCAAATCTCGGCATCCGGCCTCTGTCTGGGACGCGGCAGAGGCCACAGGCGCTGTCTTGCAAAGTGCCTTGTGACCAACGAGACTTTATCAAGGGCCGTTTCAGATATGCGTGGGGCTCCCACAAATAAAGCATCTTCCAGGCAGGCTTTGCACCCCCTTCTTTCACTTGGCAACCTCCATATCTCCTGAATCCATACCTGAAAATGCCCTGATGGCCCACGGTTGGGGTGGGATTGCGGTGGCTGGCGCCGTTTCTCGTGCGAACTGTTGGCCCCCGAAATGGCCCCGTTTTGGCGCGTCGGTCTTGGCGAATGTTCGTTTGGTTGGGGACGTTCTTGGCCACACCAAAAGGAAACCAATCCTTTTGGAAGGTTTGCTTCTTTTTGGTGTTTCCATTTAGGAAGCCAAACCAATCCATTTTGTGCGCAACCGGGATCAGGACTTCGGGTTTTTTTTCGCAGCCCGACGGCACCTCGCCGCAAAAACCTTCGATCTCAGGCATCCGCCACCGTGAGCCCTGCATTCTCCTCCTCCAGGGCCATCACTTTCCGCCTCGCGAGGTCGGTGCCATGGCAGGCGACACCCCTCACTCCATGGCTGCCATGCCAGGGGAGCATCAAATCCGAGCAAACTCGGAACTTACCGCTGAGCAGTTGGGGGCAGTTGGGCGAACCTGATGGACCAAGTCGGCCATGTGGGTTGCAGCAATTCCTTGCTGTAGCTCAAAAAACCGGTACCAAAATGGAACCCTGGCAAGTGGAAACATGGACAAAAACCTGCGTAACCCCTGCTGTTGAATTTTGAGCCACAGCCATTTGTTGGCCCCGACTTTCACCCTGGAAAACCGCTTGAATAGATGACAAGACCTGAGGCAGCCGCTCAAAGCGAGCGACCAAGACCTGCAGGAAGTCGTTCTTCTCCTGCAGGGCCTCGGACGTTGGACACGAAACGCTTCCAACTGGGTTCTTCAAAATGGGCGGGATCCCGAGTCCATAATTGGGTGTGGGTCAAAAATAGCTACCCGACATGGAACCCTGAATTAGAAACCATGTCTAAATTCCGCGGTTTTTTGGTGGTCTCATTTTGACGCATACCCAATTTGTACCGGGCGGGGCTTAACGAACGTCTTGCGCAAGGACTTCAGCTCTCAGGAGCGATTGCCTTCAAGCGATTGCCAGCGAGCTCCAGGCCAGCAAGCGTTTCTCAGGGGCTGTCCGCGAAAATAGGAAGCCTAGGGGACCCGTTTGGTGCCCCTTGCACCAATCCCAAACCAACCAACCAACCAACCAACCAACCAACCAACCAACCAAGCAAGCAGGCAGGCAGGCAAGCAAGCAAGCAAGCAAAAACACACACACACACACACACCACACACACACACACATCATGTTTGTCAATATGCCATTCCTCGATACCTGAAGGTTCTCCCACACGTGGAAATCGCTTCTTGAAAAACCCTCTCCGAACTCTCAAAACCACGGTGTAAGTCACAGGAACGATGTCCAACATGCTGGTCTTTCCTTTTCCCGGGCATCCAAGCAGAAACGGTTCGACACAAACATCTCAGCGGGCTTGGAAAAAAGGCGAGGCGCAGTTTGCTCCGCCGCGTCGGGCCGTTGCGGTCGCCTGGAAAACGCTCCAGCTGTCGGTTTCCACAAGGGGTTGATACGAAAAAAAAATCAAGGGTGATCACCTCTTTAGGGGCACGACTAGAAATGGGCCCAAAAGGGGAAGCCAAAAGGTTAGATCCGGTCGACCCACTTTGGGCATAGTGGTAACGAGGTTTTGGAGATCTACGACGGCTGGATTGATTGGAGTCTGAATTTGAAGGACCCCCTACCAAAAATTGTTGAAAAATGCAGAGACCAACCAAAACGGGAGTGGGATTTGTAAAACTATTCCAGCTGGAGCACCTGTGTCCAAATCTGCTGGCCAACACGATGCTTAGAAGTCGCAAGCGATGATGGCGGCTAGCTAAAAAAGAACTTAACCACTTGCTTGATCCCAGCATTTACCAAATGATTGGAATGTGCGGCGGTTGCAAGTTGCACAAACTGATTCCCTCGCTGTGGCTATGCCTCTGCCCATGCCGGTCAGCCTCTGCCTCAAAAGCTCCAGCTCAGCTTGCGTCTGGGCGGGAAAACATGGCAGCATGCACTTCAATACGCATGCGCAACGTGACGTGGTGCACCATGCAGCAATGCAGCTTCCCTTTGCCACAGAACCCTCTCGCTTCCAGGATCAAAAGGGATCCTTTGCGTGGGATGACCCGGGAAAACCACCCAACAGACTTGGGTGCGAATTTCAACGCGGGGTGCTTTGGTGCGCCCACCTAAACATTTTTGAGGCTTCCCCGTCCAAATCCATGGCCCTTCGCTTCTCCCAGATTCATTTTTCGGCCTCCTGCAAGTCTCCGGCTTGGGCAGCACAGGTCGCCTGCACGGCCCCTCGGGCCAAACCAAGACACACAAAGCCCCAATTTCAGGATCCCGACCGCCACCGGCGGTGGGAGTGTGAGGGCCAACATTTGTGGCAAGCTCAGGAATGTTTAAGCGTGGCTGGTGGGTTTTAAGTTGGTTTGGCTTCGCCTCCCCTAAAACTTGCCTCCCCCCTGGCCTCCCACCTCCCCTTCCCTCTCTTGCCTCCCCTCCCCCGTCCCTCCCCTTCCCTTCTCCCTTCCCTCCACTCCCCTCCTCTTGCCTCCACTCCCTCCCTCCCCTCCACTCCCTCCCTCCCCTCCCCTTCCCTTCCCTCCCCTTCCCTCCCAGTCCCCAAAATGGCAAGAACAAATGCACCCAGCTCACCTTCAAAAGTCTGGGTGCATTGAGGGTGTTGGATACATGAAGCATGCTGGACATCTCGTGGCTGCCTTCGGGAAGGAAATATGCTTTCGGCGTTCCAACCAAGCTGGCCCCAAAATGACCATGAAAGGAATCCATCGTGGTCACCCCACGTATCACGGACCTTTTGATCAACCATTCTCAGTGACCTTTTATATTGAAAACAAAAACCAAAAAAACATAGATGGATGTCCAACTCCTGGTACACGACACATAGAACCAACCTACGGACACGAACGACTCACTGGAACACTGGGAGCCAGCGGGACACGGGCAAAACCGGTGGAATCTCATTGATCAACCCGCCCCAAAATCTAAACCCCAGTTGATATGACCCACCAAGAAATGGATCAACCCCCAAAATTGGTTCAAAAGTGGATCAAACCCACCAAAAACCACCAACAACCATGATCCCCAAGAAATTGATCTCAACCCCCGAAATTGGGGTGGAAGCCCCATGGATCAACCCATCTGACCCCAAAAAAATGTCGGGATCCTCCAAGGCGGCGAGCTGGCCCTCCAGCTCGTGAACGCGGCCTGTGGCTTGGCATTTGTCCCGGGCAAGGGGGTGGGGGGTTGGGTGGAGGGGGGGTTGGGGCGAGGAGGGGTTTGGGGGTGGGGGTTTTGGGGGGGGGGGTTTGGGGGAGTTTGGAGGTCTCTATGTGGTAGAGCGGAATTCTGGCGCAATCCCTCTTCAAACTGAGGGGTCTTCGCCTGCGAAACAGGAAGTCGTGCCTGGGGCGAACTAATTTCCCGCTGTGCCCACATGTTCTGCTATACCGACATGTGGACATGTGGACATGTGGAATCAGAGACTCCCCTTGAGAGCTTACAAAGTCCATGTCCCTCCCAAATTGACCGTAGACTACTGGAATAGTTTGACCGAAGATGTCTCTCGTGTCTTATGTGGTGGCGCATGCAGATTAATTCGAAGTTGCATGTGACACGCGCCACGCTCCGGTCTTTCCATGGCCGACCACATGTTCTACACCAAACCGGGCCAAGGTCAGCGAGCTCATTTTCTTTCTTACCAACCCAGGTCCATATGGTATGTCTCAAAATAGGGAAAATGGCTTGTCTCAAAATAGGGAAAGGCTAAAACTGGTAGTTGCCCCTTCAAAGTGATCCTTCAAACCTCGAAAGACACACGGATCTATTCCACTCTCCGACCGCAAAAAAGCGATCTTTTCGCTGCCCCCTTCATGTCACATCATGTCCCCTAAACCTCCGAGCACGAACCGAAGTTCCACGGGCTCAAGCACCATGCATATATACATTATATATATATATATATATGTGTGTTGGTTTATCTATTTATTGATGGATTCATTTATTTATTGATGTATGTATCGATTTGTTTATTCCTTTAACTATTCATTTGTTTACGTATATATATATATCTACTTCTTAATTTATATAATCTATTTATAAGACTCCAAAGCACCAGCCCGCGGTCGGCGGCCTTGCGGCGCTAGCATCATGCCTGGGATTTCCGTGGAACTCGACGGCAAAGCGCGTATAAACGCGTATCAACGTGGACACCCCCATGATCGCACAAGAAACCCGGTAGCCTGCCGCCAGGCAGTCATGTCCAGTGGGGTATTTCCCTTTTTTCGGGGACACCCCCCCCCCCCCACCAGTGGTTTTCCTGTTGGCGTCCCCCCTAAAACCAACCAAACGGGGGTAGCCTCAAAAATGACGAGCCACCCTAAGAATAGACTTGTCATATGAACATTCCGCAACTTCATTACAACAAAGACTGGCCATTCACACGTCTCTCAATCAAACTGACGCCTCCCGTTGTCCGGTCTGAAATACTTCAGGTGTGTGAGTGTTGAAATAGGAGCTCTGGGTCGGTTCCAGGACTGGCCACTCACCGGATTGAGTGAACGAGTGCGCCCAAAAAAAACTACGCCGACATGTGCTCGAGTGGCTCAACTGGCAAATCCACTGACCATTGAACTTTCTTGAATTGAGCTGGCATCTTGCTGCGGAATGGGCCGAGCTGCATGGCACCAGAGCTGCCTCCTGAGGATTCAAACCCAAACCGCTAGGGACCGAAAGGAATGCCAGTTGCCATGGTCAAGGGAGCGCTTAAGTATAGATAGCTCCATGGCTGACTTCCGCTCTCGCATGCTCTCACGAGGCTTCAAAGAAAATTTCGGGCACTTGGCCTTCTTACATATCAATGGCAACAAACAGCTTGAAGGCAGCACCTGTATAGCCCAAACTAGGCGCAAAGCAACCCAGAGAGGAAAGGTTTAAACAAAAATAAACGCTGTGTAGGCCCTGCCAGTACCACAGTGCCACCCGAAAACTGGGAAGAGCAAACCATTGCTCCCTATATTTTCCCCTACATCACAAGAGGAAACTCGGCAAAAACATGTTTTGTTGAGGCTGGCGAGGGCTGGCCCTATCCCTTGTCCTGGCCCAACGAACGCTGCAGGTGCAGGAGATGAGCGTCAGCCTGCGGCCGAGGATACGGCCAGTGTTGGTCCCAAGGGAGCGGAGGAAAACATCGCCCTCGACGTCCTCTGCAAATCAACATGGAGAGCCCAACAATCCGAAGGGCTGACGGAATTTGGCTCAAGGCCTCGTAGGTCCCATTTTTGACACCCCGCTTCAGCCACATGGTACAGGGAATGTCGGGCTACCAAGAAACCGGGCCCAGAAAGGGACACAAAAACCCCCATCCGCGGGTGTGGCTCCCCGGGCGATGTCTCGGTCCTGCTGCTGCCAGGGGTTCGCCGGCCAGTCCTCCTCGAGTCCCTGCAGGGCATTCGAGGCCTCAAAAAGGCGGCCAAGGGGCCCTCTTCCAACCCAAGCCTTGTCCAATCCCTTCGAAAAATCTGGGTTTCCCGAGCACCACCCAGAGGAAGTTCACATACAGAAAGCCCCCAAAAGGTGATGTGTCACAAGAATCAGTTTCCAGCCCCGCCCGTTCTCTCGCCAGGCCCCTCCCCTTTTTTTCCTCACCTCTCATTCGGCTCCTTTTGGGGGGGAGGAGGGTCGCAGTGGAGACACTTGGGAGAGGAAAGCTTTGAGCCAGCAAATGTGCGGCTTGGCATTGACGGAGAAACACTGGACCCCAATGTGCGCAAGCTTGGAAGCAGCTCTTGCTTTGTTGAGCAGCTTCCTGCTTGGCACAAGCTTGTGGCGCTTCTAGCCAGGCGTTCTAAACACACAGAGACAAGACTGGCATGGAAGGAGTCCTTACTGTACAGACGGCCTCTGCAAGTTGGCGGTGCCAAGGATCAAGGGATTTGTGTGCTCCTTCCAAGCCAGTCTCCCATCTCTCTCGATCTAATTTGACCCAGGTCATGGGTGGAAAAGAATGCAAGACCAGGCAGAGCCTGCCTGGGTTTATCTACCCAGAGGCCAGCAGAGCGGGCTTGTTGAAAACGCTCAGCAGACATCGGCATCTGAACACATCGAGCAAAGAACTGTATTTGCCTTTGCTAGGTGTCCACTTCTTCCTTCAAGAGGGGCAAAATAGATGTTTAAGAACAAATCAAATGCTCAAAACGGGTAAAGATCTTGTCTTTCACCAAAAGTAGATGCTCAATTCATAGAGGTTGCGGCTCACGGTGATCGCTCATACATGCACCGGCGCCAGGTCAGAGGCGTTCTCGGCAACCGGTGGGGGGGGTGGGGGGGTGGGGGCATGGCCTGGGCTTCTCAGGGCCTCCTGGAATTGACCCACTTTCACTGACCCCTGGAATCAACTGGAAACCAAAGGGGACCCCGACAGCAAATCTGGTCACACCCCGACAACAACACCCTATTGGGAGCATACCACTCTACATATATGGATGTTTCATGAAATAGAGCCCACTTACTAGCAGTAAGTGGCTTATCAATCAGCATTGATGAGGTGTCATCCATCCCAGCTGGTGTGAAATGGGTTTTGTTCATCCACAGCATCTTTGCTTGGATCCCTAAAAGCGAGCCATTTTTGAGGGTGCTCGCACTGCAGAATGTTGCATCTTCCGAGGCCTCCAAAACATGTGGGGCCATTCGAGCGCCAAAAGGCAAGATACATTCTGTGCTTTTCCTGTTTTTTGTGGGGAGGCCTGAGATTGGGGGATCAGCTCCTCTGCTTCCTTTTGGAGCTTAGGCGCGCGTCAGCGGACAAGGGAGGCATTTTCACCGAGGTGCGCTCAGCCGCCGATCGTCGCCCACCACGTCGCTCCAAATGCCCTCCTGGGATGAGGACGCCAAAGCGGGCAGGGGTAGCACGGAGATCTGGGTGCTGGCCCCTACCATGATCCAAGTCACCCCCCAAAATGGTAGGTAAAGGGAAACCACCTCATGTTCTGACCTTGATTCCCCGCAGAAACCACCAAAATCATGACGCCTGGGGGTATGTCAGAAGGTTTGAACCCCTTCGATCTCGAAGCGCCCCCTCGCCCCCTCGCTGAGGCACATGAAGTTTGTGGCAAACCTTCGCTGCCATAGCCTCAGAGAAGCAACGGGAAAATTGGTTCCACATATGCTACACATGAAGAACAGGTTGATTGGACATGGAGTGAATCCACACACACACACACCAGCCTAAGAGTCATGGCATTTCAGAAATATTGCTTGCGCCAGTGGTACGGGCCCCGCTCTGCTGTCCATACATATACTGCCTTTGTATCCTCCAGCTGTATTTGTTTATGTTCCCATCCCTTCAAAATACAGTAAAGCAGCGGCCGGATACCACTAGCTCGATGCATCAAAGGCTGATACTATAGGCCCATATATAAACCCATGTCCATGTTAGACCTACCAAAGGCCAGGCCCCAGTTGGATAAAATCCCCTCAACCGACCAATTCACATAATATTTTTTCATCATTTCATAACAGAACCTCAACTCAAGATTTGATACATAAATTTTGAAAATATTTTTCTAAATTTTCAAAAATATTATTTTACAAAATTATCATTTTTCCCAAGAAATATAAATCATAAATTTTACAATATTCTTATTGTAAAGTTTATGGTTAAAATTTAAATCATATTATTTCATAATTTGAATAATTGCAGAATTCCTCACGGAATATGCTGAAATGAAATAATTTTCCAGAAAGGGTAATTCACCTACAATTTGAAAAACTTTGTCCTTCACTTCCTCCATTTCTTTTTTGACCTCTGGTGCTACTGGAGGTTTTGAATTTTCAATTTCATTAGGTTTTTCTTCCTCAACTGTTGTTTTTACTTTATTCTCATTCTCAATATGCTTCTGTGTTTTCAAATGCTTGGACATTGCAGATTTCCTCACTTTACACTGGCAAATATCACATTCTATTTCAATCTGATTACGCACTTTATTATATTCCTTTTTCTTTTCCTTCCTATCAATTTTACTTTGTTCTCGGCAGTAATCACAAATATGCACTCTAACATTAAATAGGTCAGGTGGATAAGTGTTTTCACATCGCCTACATTGTTGCATTTTGTCAGTCATCTCCATGCTACTATTGATAGGTGGCATGTCTTTAAGACCAGACCATCTTAAAAATCCCAAATTCCCAAAATATATTTTCCCAAAATCCCAAATTCCCAAAATATATTTTTCCAAAATCCCAAATTCCCAAAATACATTTTCCCAAAATCCCAAAATATAAAATCCCCATAATTTCAAATCATAAATCTTACAATGTTTTTTATTGTAAGGTTTATGGGGTGTGTTTTTCTCTGCTGTGGTCTCCGAAATGGAGGCAATGAAGCTCTGATAGAACTCCAGAAATTCTTCATTGGACGCATTGTGTTTTGTCATTTGACGCATTGTGTTTTGTCATTTGACGCATTGTGTTTTGTCATTTGGCGCATTGTGTTTTGTCATTTGGCGCATTGTGTTTTGTCATTTGGCGCATTGTGTTTTGTCATTTGACGCATTGTGTTTTGTCATTTGGCGCATTGTGTTTTGTCATTTGACGCATTGTGTTTTGTCATTTGACGCATTGTGTTTTGTCATTTGGCGCATTGTGTTTTGTCATTTGACAAATTTCTTTTGTAATTTGACGAATTTCTTTTGTAATTTGACGAATTTCTTTTGTAATTTGACGAATTTCTTTTGTAATTTGACGAATTTCAATTTGTCATTGGATGAATTGTTTTTTGCTTTCAACCCACCAAACTCGTCAAAATCTCACAAATCAATTCAGCAGGTATTTTGTATAAATCTTCCTGCTTATGTATTACATAATTATCCCCCATTCTGCTTTAGTTTTTGATGGCAACTGTTCCAACAGAACCACTGCCTGAAAATAATTCTAGTAAATTCATATTGTTTATTAGAATGATTTAGATAATGTTTTAGACATATACATATTTATCATCTTCCTTAATAATCTTATAGTATTCTAATGTTTGTTCTTTTGGACTTTTGATTTGTCCCTTATTTAGCATATCGCAATATTTTTTACGCTTCGTGTCATAATCACCGCTGAGTCTGCCTATCCCTTTCTTTTCAAAGATTTTATCAATCTTTTCCTTCTCTTCATTGCTATCTTTTGGTTCGTTTGCCTTTGCATCAAGTTTCTGGTCAATAGTTTTTATCATCTCGTACAACAGTTTAACATTTTTACTAACTGTCATTATCTTCTTTGATAGTTCAGCAATAGCATCATTCTCAACTTCAGACATTTCTATATATATTTATTTATATAATTATTTATTTAAATATTTATTTATGCGTTTTATTATACAGTTTACCTGAATAATCTAATGTTACATATGTAAATAAATTATATTCTAACAGTCTTTCACCAATTTTATTGTTCATTTTTATTAAACCTTCCTCGTCACCTGTAATTTCAAAAAACTTCAATATTTTAACAAATTTATCCGGTTTAGTTATACCTTTCATAAAATATTTATCCTTGAATTTAGCATCAAACCAATAAAAATATTCTTCGCTCAATTGTTTAGCAAAGTTTTTATCACCATTAAATAGGTCTTTAATTTCTTCATCGTCAAAAGTTATAACTCTATGGTCTTCTCTATTCATAGTTGGCATTATGATTATACAAATAATTAGATATTTATTTATTTACTTATTTATTTATAAAATTGATTTAATGTAAAACCTACTCTTTAAATACTAGATTTTCATCATTTGTTTAATAGTTTCCTGTGCTTCGTTATCACCATTATCGGATGGTGACGCATGCCTTCCCCATTTAAAAGTTATATTATGGACATCAGTTTCTAAGTTGATACTGTCTTTAGTTTTATCAATATTCATTTTCTTATCGTTTTTACTCAATTTGAAATTTGTCGGAATACACGAACATTTACAATTTCCTTTCTTTTGAATTTCTAATTCGTTCTTCATTGCTAACATCTTTCTACACATAGGACACTCAAACTCAATAACTGATGTTTCTTTAACAATTTCTTCTTCTTTGTCTTCATCTGTTGAAGAAACTGTAGTATCTGTTTTATTCTTTTTGTTTTTCTTTTTTCCCATTTATATTAATATTTACATTTTTATTTTTGATATATTGTATTCCTAATTTTATTAATTCTAATGTATAAAAGCATACTTTCTTACATCTGTTGTCAGTTATTATTACTTGTTCTATATTCTCTACTTCATCTATTATATCAATATAATCTGAATAACTTCTATCCATATTAAATAATAAGATGAAATAATTATTAAAAATAATTATTTGATCTTATTATTTTCATGCATAATAGAATATTGGTGGGGCACAGCACTTGGGTTTTCATTGCACACGCGAGCAAGACACAAAACTAATTATCTTCAATGCTTATTGATTGAAGCAATGGAAACCTGTTCCGTTTTTATGATATTCACTACCAGCATATCATAAAAAAGATGTTCCATTTAATATTAAATAGAATATGTATTTAAACTATTTTCTTTAGTAAGTTTTACTGCAGTTGATATATCAACATCTATAATATTATTATTAATGATTTCTTGTACACTATTTATCATTTCATTTGTATATGTATTAGAATAATCTTTCATAAAATTTACTAATTTATTATAATTTAGACTATCCTCGTTTTCGATTGATGATTTAGATATTATAATATTTTTATTTTTAATTATAGCTAAAAACTTTAAAATCGTATCATAATAATTTTGGCCAGTATCTGGAACTAAAACATCACCGAATTTATATGTACTCCAAATACTAGTAACTTCACTTAAATTAATAGATTCTATTGTCATTATGATATAATTATATTATATTTTATTATTTTATAAGTATTTATAATATTATTTTATTATGCCTGATGTAAAACCAATTGATGAAATCAAATTTGACTTTAAGCAAAGTAAGCACGAGGTCGTCCCTAAATTGCCGATGAGAGCGATGATTGTAGGGCCGTCAGGCTCTGGAAAGAGTACGCTACTTGTATCAATGATACTTGATATTTATAGAGGAGCATTTGAAAGAATTTTTATCTGGTCCCCATCTGTAAATTTGGATAGTATTTGGTTGCCTGTTAAGAAATACATTAAAGAAGGTTTGAAAGTAGATACTGATACAGAACCGTGTTGGTGGGATGAGTTCAATGTTGAAGATTTAGAAAGAGTTATAGAAACTCAAAATAAAATAATTGAATACCAGAAAAAACAAGGAACGAAGAAATTGTTTAATATATTAGTTATATTGGATGATGTATCTGATAATCCAGCAATAACAAGAAATAACAAATTGTTAAATTCTTTATTTTGTAGAGGTCGCCATAGTGGAATATCAACACTTGTCAGTCTTCAAAAATCATCAACCGTGCCACCAATTATTAGAGTAAATATAAGTCATTTGTTTTATTATAAAGTTAGAAACTACAAAGAAATTGAAATATTGCAAGATGAATTATCAGCAATTGTTAGAAGCGATAATTTACACGAAAGCAAGAAATTAATTTATAAAATATATGAAACTGCCACTGATGAACCGCATAGTTTTTTATATATTAACCTTTTAGAAAAGAACCCAGATAAAATGTTTATGAAAAACTTTTCACAATATTTGAAAATAACTAATCAATAACATTAAATTTATTGTTTAATGTTTTTGATTTAAATTAATGAAGCGTTGCATAAATTCAACGCAGGTAATTTATATATTAGTTTGTCCGATTTTTGACTTTCTAATTTTTCTATTCGCGCCACACATTCTTGAATAGATTTAATTATTAAAGTATCCGCTCTTGTTTTTTCATCTACTCTTAAATTCTTAATGTCTTCCATACTGTTATTTTCATCGTTTTTACTTTGACCAATACCCATTATATATTATTATTTAGATTTTTCTTTTTTCAATTCCTTAATTTCTTTTTCAAGTTTATCTACTTTATCATTTAATTCTAATACTGCTTTATGAACTAGCACAGGTAAAACTAAATAATTTAATCCTAAATACTCTCTGTCTTTACATACAACATTTTCAAATTCTTTAGGAATTGCTTTTAATACTTCATCT